TCCCACTACTGTAAGGCGTTGCACTCCCCATTCACACTTCTTACCAGAGACTGTAGCCTCTGCGCGTTCAACATCAGCTAGTAGTCTATCGAGATCTTGGATATGTTCTAACACATATCTTTGTATCCCTGGCAGTGCTTCTTCATCATTGTATGAGTTCTTACTTCCTGCAATTACAATGTCGTCGATGAAAACACTTGCAGGAGTTGGACTGTGTCTTTCGATTATTTTCATAATGATTCGAAGGAAAGCTGCAACAGAATTGGTGCATCCTTGGACCATAGTGTAGTACCGAACTAGGCCTGCAGGTGTCCAGAAAGCGGTAATATCCCTGCTGTTTGGATGTAGTGTGACTTGGTCGTATCCTGAAAAGAGATCTGCTATCGTCATCAACAGACAACCAGCGAATCTCTCTGAGAAATCATCGGCAGATGGTGGCAGGTTTGCATCTCGAATGGTCACTGCATTAATGAGTTGCGCGTTGTTAATCAACCGATAGCCAGAATCTTTCTTTGGAACCAGAAACCACGGATTTCGGTATTGACTGTCGCACAGTTCTAGTGTTCTTTTTTGTAGTCTTTCGTTTATCATCTTGAAAACTTCATTTTCCAATTTCTTAGGTGGTCGAAAGCTTGGAGATTGCCAGGCCTTGTGTGGTATCGTTCTTATTTGGTATGGCGGTGCCACTTCTGGTTGAACTCTTCCTGATTCGCTGAAATCAAATGCAATTGCTCCTTCCCTGTTTAACAGCATTTGTTTGAACATGCTGATTTCCGTCGGTCTTAGTTGGGTTCCAAACACTTGTTGCTGAAATCGTTCTGGAGTTAATCGAGTGCCTCTCCTAAAAGTTGCGTGTCTTCTCTCAAATAAGTGGTCGAACAGACCTATGTCCACCGGATTTAGGAGATCGGTTTTTCGTTGCCGTTCCATAGCTCTTTCAATCCATTGGGGATGCCCAAAGTCCATAGGTTCTGCCACTCTTGGCTCATCGACTGGCCGCACTTTGTCTGCTACTTTCTTGTGTAAAGTATTTGTTTGATTTTCGCCCTGATAGTTAAGGTATGTATTCTTTAGTGTCTTTTCTCTCGCTTGTTGTCGATTCAACTCCTGTAAAATCAGTGCTGTCGGAAGCTCGTCTTCAACATCTAGGCTTCTTGCAGCGATCTTGTGGTATGTTTGCGAGTCGTAATTCCATTGCCGGAATTCTTGTCGCATTGAATCGTCAAACACCCACCCGTACTTACCAAACCCTACATTCATATCATTTGCTCCTTGCCCCAGGAAATTGACATATCCCGAGTCGTACTCTTCTTCTGGTCGATTGTTGGTAGTTATCGTGTGGCACTCGTCCCGACTCGGTTTAGCGTAGCATAATTTCATCCAATCAGATTTCGCAGGGTATCGCGTATCGCTACCCTGCGAAATGTGATTGGACACGCCTATCCCACCCCTGCCGTTCTGCCTTCTTTCTGGGATTCTTTTATCTTTTCTAGAGAGTCCACTCCCAGTGCAAACTCCCCCCATTAGTTTTCCGGGCTGGGAATTGCAAGATATCGATGTTGTTCTTTGGCCTTAGGATCCGCTGCCATGAAAGTTGCAGTTCCTGTTCCACATTCCGTCGTGATTTTACATTTGCATTGACCATTTGTAGTCCATGACATCTGTAATCTGGATGCGGAACACCATGGTGCTCCTAATATAATTGACCTTGATAGATTACTTGTGATCCGAAAGCTGGTGTAGATTGTGACACAACTAACTTTGATTGGCACATCTATAGCCACTCCCACATAAGGATCCACCGAACCATTGGCAGTGACCAAACCTCCGGGTCCGTCAGCTCCTGCTGAGTTATCTACTACTAAGCCCATTGCATTTGCTGCTGATAATCGCATGACGTTCATCATGGAACCACTGTCAATGAGACACCGTGCGCGGCAATCATAGATTTCTGCCCAGCATTCTGGAAGGTCTCCTTGAATTAAGACAACTCCAGATATCTTGTCTTCCATCCGGACCATCTGTTGATTCTTGAGTTGTTCGTGTTCGTTGAAAGTGTCTCCATAACCAATAACTTCATGCTTTGCAGCAGTGTTTACCTGTCCTACCAGCACTAGGTGGTTGGTTTGAACAGCTGAAATTGCATTGACACTGTGAAACTGCGTATCTCTTGTCTCAGGAGTATTGTTATTTTGATTTTCGTCATTACCCTCATCAGTATCCTTGATTAATCGATTTAGGATTCTGCGGGTGGGTGGGTTAGACATGATATCTGCCAAAGATATTCCTCGAACTTCTTGCTGCAATGCAAAATTCACAATGCGGTTTGGGTGTTGGCGTAGTAATGCCCCTAACTGCTCATCTTCCAGCATTACGTCAGATGTTTTAGCCTTTCTTCTTGCCGTAGGTATTGGGGATAATGTTGGTTGCTCTTCTCTGACTGCTGCAGTGGGGTGATCAATATCCCTATTGTCTACCGGCCATGCCAGTGGATCTGCAGCTTCTTCACTGGCTACTCTTGGTTGAGTGTCCTGACTATCAGTCATTGCTGGTGATTCTTCGCGAATATCCACTTCCTCTGCAATTGCATTGCGAAGTCGGTTTGTAACTCTTCTTTTGGTTGGGAGAACTCTCTTTTCCACTCTCGTGTTCGGACCTTTCTGGATTGCAAACGTTGTAGCATTTCCTAGTATGATATCATCCATTACATGAGTATTGCTCAGTTGAACACTGCTCACAACTTCGTTCCGGATTCCTTCCGCAAACTGCTGTGCATGTTGACTTATCGTTCCTTTTTGTTTATGGTTTTCCATGCCTGTAATGCTGTTCACCCCTTCTGAATGAGAACTTCCTTCTTCTCTTTTCATGATGGTGTAGCCAGGGTTACTCAGCTAGATCCTGAACTAGCTTATCTACTTCTGGATCCACGCCTTTTGGCAATTTGGTTGGTTTTTGTCGTTTCACTTCTTCTTCCTGTAAAGCTCTGATCAATTCCTTCGCAGGGGATATCCCTTGCGGAGAGTTGATTGTTTTGAATAACTGAGTTGCTCTCAGTTCGTCAACTTTCTGAGCTTCTGGCGAGAACTGCTGCAATCCAATCTTTTGTACATGCATCTTTTGGGTAAAGGCAAACAACTCTTGGAATTTGAAGGTGTTGATTTGATCTCCCACTGGCCGATCCTTCTCTGGCATTAGAAACATCATGCGTTCCTGGTCTTGCGAGCATAGCCCTTGGAAGAAGTAGTATCCTACTTCCTCCTCACTGATTTGCTTATTCTTCACTGCAGCCTCTGAGTAAGTGGAGAAGGTTGCATAGTAGAGTGAGAAATCCAAGGATTTTTGATGGCTTTCATTGACAAATTTTGCCAGGAATGCTCTGGTTCCAGTTCGGGTGGCAGAGTCGCTGTACGCATATTGTCTTACTAGCTCTTCTTTGAATTCATCCCATTTTGCTTCTTTGTATGGCTTCATCAACTGTACCAATCGTCCATAGGTTGGTTCGCAGAAGTCTGGAAACAGTAACACTTTCTGCCGGTCGTTGTATCCAGCCATTTCGCATCTTCTTTCGTATTCTTCTAGGAAAGTTGATACATCCTTGCTTGCAAACCGGAAGTTTAGGTAATGATGTGGTAGAAATGGGATTACTCGATCCATGGTTGATTGATTGGAAGAATTTGAAGTTGTCCTGGATAATGGGCTGGTTGGTATCGACTCTGGTAGAGGCGTTTCCAATGCTTCCTCTGACAAACTTATAACAGATGGGCTAATAGTTGTCATTGATTCCTTACTTCCTTCTCTTTCTCGTTTTTCTTCCTTATATCCTAAACGTATCCGGGTCCCTATCATGAAGAAAGGGTCCCCTCCCGGGTATTTGTTATCTAGTTCCATGGTCCTACGTTCGTTGGGATCTAACAAGGGATCCCCTCTTGGAATTCCCGCTCGGGTTCCTGTTACCTTTCTTACCCTTTATTTTTCGGGGTTTCTCTATTACCCTATAATACTGGTCTTTAACTTGGCATCTTTGTATACCTCTTTTGTTTTAATCCTAGTACTATGTGCTTCTTTAGTATTTCATCCTTTTGTCTTTCTTACCCAATTGTACCGTTGTGCCCCATGGACTTCGCCATTTTGTCGAGTAGGTGATTGCTCCATCGTAGTAACCATCAATAACCAGCAGGTAATCACAACTCGTCGATTGAGTAAGAAAGTAATGTAAGAGATAAGATAGAGTATAAATTGCTCTTGAGTAATTTAATGCCACTTGCTGCTTACTCCTTGTACCGCGTGCCTCTCGTGTACTTGCCTTACGCGCGACAGATATATATATGCCTCTACTCAATCGACTCTGCCATACTAAGTGATTGAGTCGATTGTTCTACTAGTTGATAACTCCGAACCAAATGCCGAAGATATGATCAAACTATTGAGAACCAGTGATTGTAAACAAAGCAAAAACAAAGGAAATCCCCCTCTCACTACTCCACATATTCCTCTTCCACCTGCGACTTGGACTCCTCAAGGAGCAACCTCTCAAGGATCCTCGTAGAGACTGTTGTCAGTATCCTCTTCCTCAGATTCCTCTGATAC